GTCATTAAATGAGTCTGATTTCCGGTATTCAGTTGACTGGACCCTCTCCCAAGGACAATTGGCTAGCTCTGGGTCAAGTTCATTCTGGCCCTTATAGCTCGTCAGTTTATCTAGTTTATCCCTCTTTCATGTTAGTTGCAATGGCAATGTACCGACGATTCGTTTTTTTCACGGATCTAAATTTTGAACATTCGGCAATCTGACAAAGGCTCTCTCTGAATCAGCGTCATTCTTCACGAACAGTCTGCGAGTCTAATTTGATTAAGGCTTGGTGCTAACTTAGGTCTCTTAAGCAGGGGTAATGGTTTAAGACAGTTTCTTCCCATTTGACAAGATTTTAATTAACAAGACTGAAAAAACAATACTTGAAATTTAGTTGAAGCTTTACTCAACGAATTTTGTGGTACCCATTAAAAATGTCCCTTTCAGCAACAATGAATCCCTCTTTGCAGATGCCCAGTACCTGACGATTGAAACAGCTATGATATAATTTTGAGTAAAATTGTATGATATGAAGAGTAACTGGGTTTCGATTAATCTCCTGAGATAGCATTATTGCTTGGACTTTCATTTCGTATGAAAGTGTATGAAGAATATATTCGAAGGTCGATCTCACCAGATGCAGACGGTTTAATCCCATTGTACTGCAGGCATTTGGCTTTGATACGACGTTGTATGATGAAGAGGTCCAAATGTCGACTTCATAGGAAGACGATTGAGGATTCCTCCTGGAAATCTACCTCGACTTCAGGTAAAACGTGATTAACTCTGGTCTGTGATACAATAGGCATCATGGCAGTATGATGCCATTCATATAACCTATTAAAGTCAAGATCACATGACAAATGAGAGCTGAGCTTGTTTTCACTGGAACCAAAGAAGATTACCCTGAGTACATCGTATACCAGAACGTTGCAGCAAATCCAAATAAAGGCTGGCCAAGATGAAGAAGCCATTGTCTGTGTAAAATCGACTCTAGAACATCTTACTAATGCAATCTAACCTGAAACAGAAGATAGCCCAGAAAATGTATCTTAATAGCCTTAGGCGTCAAACATTTGACCTCTGCAAGGTGGAATAAATTGTCACTGAAATAGATATTTGTAGCACGCACCACAAAATTCACTGAGTAAACATTCAAATAAATTCTAAGTAATTAGGCTTTATTCATTGTTAGTAAAAAAACCTGCCGATTGGTATAAAACTGACTTCAAAAAATAAACCCCTATAAGGGGTCTAGGCAGATCACAATTTTATAACTTTCGGCCCGCTACTTAACGAAGGACAACGTAGATTCGGAGGGAGTTTGTCGAATTGCCGAATTTTAAGGTCAAATACAAGAAAAACAAGGAAACGTCACAGTACAGTGTCAATTCAAGCAACCTCTCATTTATATACAGCATATAAATGCATGTTCTGAATGCTTAAAATGCACAATAAAACTGCGAGTGTGAGTTTAACGATTTGTATAGAAATAGGAATCCAAGAGTTTTATTCTTAAAACAAATGGTTAAAATTAAAAATCACTTCAACTAGTATGTGTCAATAAGAAAGTATGAGATATCACACCGTCAATTTCGATTTAGAGGAAACTTTCAATCGCCTGCATGCCAACACAAAATGAGACAAGGAGAATAGCACTTCTTCCAGACGTAAACAACTTTCGCATAGCCTAAGCTGTGCTACTAGCTACAATACTTCATTCGAGCGCTATTTGGTTGTGACCTTGTGCTTTATAAAAAAAATAAAAAAGTATTTAGGGATCCCGCATTAGAGGAAGGTAAACGGTATTCTCACGTGTTAACCGTTTGTCAAGTGCGATAACTATGTTAACCTCCCATTATGTTTGAAGAGGTGAGTAGAAGGCATTCATGTGTTGGTCTCACTGGAAGTCGAAGAGTGATTACCTTGGAGCTGTGAAGAAGATAAGAAAGGCCTTGTCTTTTTGATTAGTGAATTATGGTAAAGCATGTTATGCTCTGACCACGTTAGTCACATGACGGAGGAAGGCTCAGCAAGGATTCAGCGAGGTAGCGGGAGAGCGAGCC